CCTGGTTGGGGCGTGCGCAGGAGGCAACTGACGGATGTGTTTCTCTCACATCGATATTTCTTGCTGTCTTTCTATCTCTCTTCCACTCTCCCTAAAAATCAATAAAAAAAAAATATATAAAATAAATATCAAAAATATGTCTTTGTTTTACTATGGTTGCAAATATTAAAAAAGTTCTATATGTGACATGTCACCAGAGTTAACTTAGGGTTTTTCAAAATGCTGACACGCCGAGCTCAAAAGGTTCGCCATCACTGGTAGCTCATCCTATCTCGTCTATGAGCTTTCCTGCCTTCCTGATCACTCCAGCTCTCATTTGTCCCCTCTTTCTGTGAACTCAACAAGCAAGCACATAGGGTCTATCTGTTCAAAATTAAAGAAACCATATTTTCTGCCTATTTTAGTTGCATTAATTAATTTATTAATAAAATAAATGTATTAAAAATAATAACTACATTTATTAATTTATTTTATTTGTATTAGCCTCATCCTCTCGATTAGATTGATAGCTGCTTAGGGGTCAAGTTCCACATTTTATGCACCCATAGCACCTGGCCCCAAGTGGAGTACCTCCTGGGTGGTGGACAGCTTGTTTAATTGAAGGATCCTAATGATAGCATTCCAGGCCTTGTGAAGGTACTTTTCATCAGTGTGCTTTTCCAGTAGATGCTTTCTAATGAAACCCACTTTAAACAAGTCAGGACTTTGACCCCAAAGTCACCCTGAAGTGGGGTGGTTCTATTTTAGAGATGACTTAACTTTAAAAAGCTGTGTTGTTGTTGTTTGTTTTTTTTTCCCTTTGAGAGAAGAATATTCTAGGTGGGTCCTTCCCTTTACTTGCTTTAGGAATAATTGTGGTCATACTGAAGCTGTAAGGCTAATCTAAAGTTTACATTAAAGGGTAAAGAGATTTTCTAGATGATGAAATGTGACATCCATGAGAATTCACTCAAAAAGCCTACTGAGTGGTTAAATTGTTGTCAGTAGACCAAGAGAGGATTTCTCACTTAATTTTTCCAAGAGAATTATTTTGGTGACCTTTTCCCTCCTTCCAGCCCCTCTAGTTAGTCAGTCATTCCTCACTGTTGTGATGTTCTGGCCAGCCTGTCTTCTAAGGAGATTCCTCCTCACCTGAGGGCTTGAGGCAGGGAGATTAATGGGTTAACGACACAAAGCCCTTTGAATAGCTGAGATAAAAGAACTTGTCCTAGGTACTAATTATTGTTACTTAAACACCTGGGGTGATAGAATTAACCCAAGAGCTGCTAGGCCTTAAGGAAACGAAGCCTCCTTTTGCCTACGCACCTCCACATCGCATGCCTCATTTCTTTTGGCTTTTGTGTGGCAACAACATCACACTAAACAGTTCAGATATGGCTTTGATGAATCTAAGTGTATTGATTACCACGAGCCCATTAAAAATGGAGATAAAACAGTCAAGAGGTCAAATGCCATTTGTCAAACATCTATTTGTGTTGTTTCCTTCTCCCAGAAACAGAGCTGGAGGAAGTGTTAGAGGTCACCTGTCCTAACCCTTTCATTAATAATTCATAATAAGAAAGCCAACTTTATTACATGAGGAGTTAAATAATAAGGAAGCAGAGGGCCAGAGAAATGAAGCAATGTAGCAAACATGTAGAAAGGTAGAGAAGCAGCCAGGGTTGCTGACTCCTGGTCACATTTCTTTTTTTTCTTTCTTTATATTTGTTACCTGGTCACATTCTTGCTGCCAGGAGGACAGGCTTCCTACCTCAGGAGGACACGTGGGTCATAATTATAAAGAAAGAAAAAAAGAACCACTGTGCTGTATACCTAAAATTAATACAAAATAATATTCTCTTTTTAATGCAAAATAATGTTGAATGTAAACTGTAATGGAAAAAAATAGTTACAGGATGTAAGTTCAGACTAGGGAATATAGTCAATAGTCCATAATAATAAAAGTATAATATGCTAATTAGATTGAACAGCCGAACAACCTTCCAGACGTCCTTACGGACAAAGCTGGGGCTGCAAGGACTGAGCCCCTTGCACGAATTTTGTGCATTGGGCCTCTAACATTGCAATAACTATGTATGGTGCCAGATGGGTACTCAACTTATTGGGGTGCTCACTTTGTAAGTTATATAAATGTATAATCACTATGTTGTACACCTGAAACTAATATAATGTTGTATATCAACTGTTAATTGATAAATAAAAAGATAGAGTTCAATACAAAACAACAACAACAAACCCACCCCAAAACAAAACAAACCCAGAAAAGAATAGATTATGAGAGAGAGTGCATCAGATATTCTTCATTCTGCAACAAATCCTGCAGCTGTCATGACTGGCCATGTGCAGGCTGGCTGTGTGAGACGGGGTGCGCTGGCCAGGAACACATCATTTGCTCTTTTGTTCACAGTCATTTCCAAGGCTGGCTTTGTGGGGGTGTGACCCGTGCAGCTGTTCAGGGCCCCCCCACTCAGAAGGATCCTGTGCTTGGAGTTTAATACTTTGTGGTCACCATCTTGAAATTCTTAATCATTTTATCTCTGAGTTTGTGTTTTGTAAGTGAAGTCAGATGGGACAGTGGAGCATGTGCAGGGGCTGAGAGCCTTGGGCCATGTATGATCCTGCCTCCATTGCCTCCCAGCATCCACTCCATGCTACCTTTTTGTGCCCTGAGTTAC